CTCTGATGATCCGGGGATCCTTTAACATCACGCGTCGCAGGCGATCCCTTCTCCTCAAACGCTTCCATCCCAGGTTCAATCTTAATTTTCACTTCTTGACTTGGGGACATACGGTGAAATCCCGAGTCACCAGAAGATCCGGGCACGCGCACCATTGTGGTGGAGTGGCGATCGCTCAAATTATGAGTCGACCCCAACTCTCCACTGGCGCCCGGACGACCGACTAACGGAGGGAGTACTCCGATCCCGTGTTCTTGATAGCTTTCCTCACCTTGTGTAACCGTCGGTAGGGCGGGTTGCACTCTTCCAGGTGGACTCGTCTCAAAAGAAAACTTGATCGTGTTGGGGATGGGGGTGTGATCGTGCGGAAATCTTCACGCGATCACGGGGTACTTGTGGGTACTGACTTGAGTAACTCTGATCTCAACGAAATTGCCTTGTACACTGTATGGTTGCTTGATCCGCGAGACTTCTGACCACTTGAGCCGTCTCGCGATCTTGCGCCTTGCCTTTACTTGTCTTGCTGCGTCCGATCGCAGTTGATGTTACTTGAGGGTTCTTGAATACACCTGGCCAAAACAATCCAGGTGTCACACTTGCGTAGACGTGTACCGTTACTCTTTGTTCAATGGGGGGCCAAAAAAATCCAACCCGGAAGAGATAACGTGTGCCTTGTGAAGTAATTTGAACTCTGTTTGATGTTATCCAATCAATCCTAAGGCCTACCCCTATGCCTATCCGTATGTCCTAACCAGATGCCAAGCGTCGCCTTTCCAGGAAAATCGCCCCCTCACATTTGTGTGGTCCACACCCAGTATGTCAACCGTTGTGTCTTTCTTGTGGCCCACCCAAGATGTCCCCACGATCCTACGAGCGGATCGCGATCCTACTAGCGGACCGCGATCTTACTGGCGGATCGTGATCCTAGCCGTGGATCGTGATCCTACTAGCGGATCGCGATCCTACTAGCGGATCGCGATCCTACTAGCGGATCGCAGCCGGAGATCAGACTTGCGATCCTGGGTTAGGATCGCGATCTTCCAGTGAAATCGAGAGTCTTGTCTTGCTCTGTCTCACGACGGATTGCGTAATCAAAACGGGTCTGACCACCCCATAACCTCGTCCCAGATTGGACGATCCTATCCAATTGGGTTTGGGGTACGTTATCGTCAGCCACCCGTCCCAGCTTGTATTATCCAATCACAGTGATCTTGGTTCAACCGAAACGTGGGACCCGTGCGATCGCCCATCCTCGATCGCCACTCCACGTCCCAAAGAGATTTCTTTGAGACCGCTTTACCACACATCCCATGCTGTGGCTGAACTTCTAGTAGGCTCGGCCTGATATGACACATGTGGCCTAAGTCTTTCGTGCAGTGCTATATTTTATGGAGCCCATATATCAGCATGTGAGAAAAACGGACTTTCCACAGCATCCGGATTGGTATGAAATGCAACGTTGCAGCACGAAAGTGCTATGAATGTGTTCTCATCCGAGAGGGCGCACTCAATCGACCCCCCAAAGAGGTACGGGCGAACAATTTACCAGGACACTCGTATGCCCACCTCGCCTCTTCAAGCCGTTGAAACCAGCTAAAGCATCATCTAACGTAAGATTGATGTGCCTGTGCAATCATCTAGTGTTGGAAGGTTTAGATATTATACGTACGTGAACACGCCAGCACTTTATGGCAAGTTCGATCATAGTCCTTTTAAGTACCCGAGATACATTTTGGCAACATTGACACTTTAATTTAAATATCGATTGAAGTCACATATAAGATGTGGAAAGATAATGCGCCCTCGCTTACAATGACGAGCTGCTTATAGTTACCATCTCCATCGATGATGTTATGTCTTTGCTCGCACTCAGTTGCTGACATTAACAAACAGGCGAGAATAAAGGTCATCGTCCTTTCTTCTTATTTTTTCTTTTTACACTCACTAAACATGGAGTTGCTCCATTATAACGACCACGGCGATACTTAGGTGTGATATTACATACTCAATAGCCCATTATTTAATCTTACAAGTAAACATTCAAAATGATTTCGTCAATGTCTAAATCTGGATTGAGCTGCAATAAGTGCAGACGTATGTATAAAACGACGAGGTCCAGGGATTGATCCTGAATCGTTGCAATTGCAATGCGCATAAAGCTTTTGTGTCGTAATCAGAAAAAGCATCTTCAATAAGGGCGTCGTGCTTCGTTCTCGGAACTTGCTAGTTTTTAGTCAACTTCGCTTTATCATACAGGTTAGAGTAGCTCGCAGCTCTGATATCGACTGCTACACTAAGAACGACCTGCTCAGACGGCATTTCATTTTGCGACCGCGCTGAAATTAACGCCCTCAAAAGAACTACATGTCGTCAAAGTTAGCACCATAGTCACTCTCATCGTTGAGCGAGCCAGACGCCGTTCGAAGCGCTCCCTTCCTCGTATGACCTGCCATGCTGCGTGAAGTCAGGATTCATAGGGGAGTAAAAGATAAAATCGTTTTGGTATATGCAGCACGTATACCACTCCACGAACTTATTTATACATGTATCCATATTTGGGTGACCCGACATTAATCTATTTGCACCATAGTTGATTGTTGCCCATGAGATCAAGCATTTTACGCACCGAACGTTTTCGACATCGTCATACATCTAGTACATGATCTGAAACAGATAATGCTCGTCAGCAGATACTAGCGTACTGTCGAGCCTGCGAACATAGCATTATTCATCGATTAAGAATTGACATATTAAGTTGGACAGTCTAGACAAGCTATTCTACCAATGACACGGTATTAAGGACTTTGATGACGTGGACGACGAACGTAACTCCTAATTTCTCGTCATCGTTTACAAATTTCGTGCCAATATTCGCTCACATTGGTACGAAATTTGTTGTTCGCATGCTCGAACACAAGCACTTTGTTCGCTTTATAATTGTGCAAGAAGATACCTTCTGCGCTGTGACACTAGCATCTTGCGTTGCATATCTCATTTGACAGAAATTGGATCCCAGCGACGTTTATTTTTTAGACTGTACGGACGATATAAGTTTATTGGGTTCTGAAATTTTGTATCGCTCAAGAGATAAGAGATTGGTAGCAACGATACCTAATCAACGATTCGCAAAATTTACAGCTAAACATTTTAGACAAGTAGTCTTGACTTTCCACAGACGAGGTGGTGGTACGCTTTTGTCGCCCAGCTTGTTAAGAAAGTACCAATCATAATGTACGTCAGCATATCATGGATTGCGAAAACATGAAGTGAGCATCTTTAATGCTACGATCATTTTCGCCTTTTATGGTGAGCAAGAATAACTGCTGGGCTTGCGCTTATGGCAGTCAATCTGATACGAATAGCAGTCTTCAGCCCGCTGTACGCCTCGTAAGAACGATTTCGACAATTGTTTGGCTTCACAAAATGCCATTACTGTCCAGTAGTCAATTTCTTGCAAAACGAGCGCGTAGTACTTTCAGCGCGAAAAGGTGCACTTCGTAGATTTGAAAGTGCTAAATTGGTTCTCATTGCACTTATCATGCGCAACTACACGACTTGTTCTTGCAAAAATTCGTCTCGATAAACCTGTTGACGCAGCGGTAGGGTCATCAATTCATATGTTGGTCCTTGTGCGTTTTTACTAAAAATCAACGCGTCCGCGCAGAAACACTCGTGCTATTATATGTAGTCCGAGCAAATAATTCATTACGTTAGCGCATTCCATTGCAGTGTTTGGTGCTTAAAAGATATGCAAATGTCGCACGAACAGTCGTACGCCAAAAGTCGTACCGTCTATTATCCAACTGAGCAGATACTCAACTCGGATTGACGATGAGCACATTTCTGCTACGGCAGGTGTCATATGCGCGAAAAGAGATTTTATACTTTCAATAAACGAGAGAATTTTCACCTGAGTTGCTGACATGTTTTACTGTCTATTCTCCTCGTTCAAAAGTAGGGATGCCGCGAAACGATTAATCGCTACCCACCTGTTCGTACAACTTTGACTTCTCAACTACTGCTTGTACATGCTCAATCGCGCAGGCTGGCTGGCGGTCGAGTGACACTTCCACAGCTTGTACTAAAAGCGTAAAAGGGTCCAGTCGATACAATGAAGCAGCGTGTTTTTCTCCTATTGCTCCGTTTGACAGAGAAGGTTAATCTGTCGTTAATAGAACGAAAGTGGCTCAATTAAAAACGCCACTGCAGCATTTTACTCGCAATTTGCGCTTGCCATAACATTGAATCACATGCATCATGCTATTCGCTCAACTAAGTCGCTTCTGATATACGCACTGTATTCCGGTGTGCATGATAGATTGGTTAGCCGAAAGGCAAGACTGCAGCAGCAAGCTTAGCGCTTACAGGTACATGCACGACGCGTGTCACATCTTTTGCGCCCGCTTTATATTTCTTACTTATTTATACGGAAGCATGGTCAGCACGTATCCAGCCCTGCTTGTCGCGCCTTGCAAGTCTGATGGGCAATAGTGATGGTTGGGACGCACGCGTTACCACGAAGAGCATACCACCCGAACGGGTGCAACACGAAGCCTTAGACCGAAGACATGAACAACAAGTAGAAGCAGCCACGTATTCTTTGCAGCCACGAGTCTGAAATCTGCACAACCGTCTGGCTTTCGTTCAAAAGCCATGGTGGGCGAGGCGGTAGAAAATCGGTCTAGCTCCTGGTCGCCGTAACGTTTCGTGGGATACAAACCGAAATTCCTCCTTCGACCCGATGTTGCTCAGAGTAGCATAAAAACGACCACGCTCGTAAGCTTCACCGGGCGTTGTCCACATCAACTTTACACCGGAACAACTGTGTGGCGCACACCACAAACTTCCACCACTTCTGTTAATTCGGTCTGCAGTCGTCCGCTGCGAGCAAGCCACGAGCTCCCTCTCTCTCTCTGTCTCTGTCGCTCTCTCTCTGTCTCTGTCGCTCTCTCTCTCTCTCTCTCTCTCTCTCTCAACGACGACGACGAGCACCGACGGCAATGAGCGGCGGCGGATCGGTCGAGTATCCTTCGACGTCTGATCGTCTAGCGCTCTTCATGAGGCGCTATGCCTTGACCAATGACAAGGTAGCAAGACATCTGGACTGGTCCAAGGAACAGCTGCACGCGTATTTGTCATCGAAGACACGGCGCATTAAGGCGTCAACCGACGTACGTTACTTCGATATAGTTTATTATCCATCTGTGAGCTTTGAATAAATATCTTACAACTGCGACGACTGTGGGGCTCCCTGTACGATGCACGTATCACAGATTGCAGACACAGCAGTGGAAAAACTGCTGATGAGGTATCGCGTGGCGCTAGCACATCAGATGCTCAAGAGTGCTACGACCAAGTCGCTTATGTCGTTGGAGGGTACTAGTAGAAGATCAATGGCACCAACACAGGTTGGGTGGATAAGACATGGCGGGGATTGGATGCTGAGCAGTGACGATACAGATACTGACAGCTCTGCTTGTGGTGCTTGCTGCGTGCAGTTGGGACGCAGTGTGGAAGACAGAAGTAGTGTTATACATGCTGATGCGACACCTGCACAACTGGTGAGTCGACATGGTGAAGCTGTTATCAAAAGCTAGTGTTGATGTGTGATGCGGCTGTTGCATTCAGGAGAATGCAGCGATGGAAATGGCAAGGACATCGGTAGTCAAGAGGAAGCGAAAGCGAAGAGTCCATGTCATGCCTTTGGATGCGCCAGAAGCTTCATTGAAGATTCCATTGCTTGGGAAAAAGGTCAAGGATACAGTGGATGCAGAATTGACGGCAAAGTGGCTCAGCGTACGAAAGACGCGGCAGGCGGCTGATGTGGAGCTTATATGTCCCATTCGTGTGGACGTTGATATGAACGGCAAACGGTTCCAGGACACGTTTATTATCGATGCGTACGGTTGCACCACCGCCTCATTCTATTGCTATTGTAGACTAAGCTCACAGTGGTGATGTACTTTGCGTGTTGAAGAGCGCTGACAACGTGCGCACCGGAGACCCTTGCTGCCCGAATAGTTGACGACGAAAAGATGAGCGACAAGCTGAAAGTGCGTGCTGACTTTTTGCATGATATTCAGATCATTCTGCGTGCTAAGTTGTAAACACTTGATGCGTACAGGATGTTATTGCCGAGTCGATTCGGCGACAGGTGTTCATGTATACCACGTGCTTCAGCATCAAGGATAAGAGTGATCGACTCTTCCCTATCTACTTGGATCTCATTATTGACGGGTTCTCGGTACGATCGTTGTCTAAATTGACAGATCTGAACTATAGCCTGCGATCTTGCGCATTGCTGATCGGTTATGCTTTTGCTCGATGTTCACGTAGCTTCGCGACCAGTTTGAATGGGACATCTCGAATGACTATACTGCCGCACAAACATTCGCCTGCACGTTATGTGCAGACATGACTTTGCCACAACAATTTGAGCCAGCCATAGTTTTTTCGATCGTCGAGCAGGTGGCGGCATATCGTATCGTATTGGGTGGGCACAGGTGGGTCGGGAAAAACTCGTGCTGTGCAAAAGACGCCAGCGGGACGTTGCCGACATGCAGCGCAGGGTATATTGAGACGATGCCACCCCTTGATAATGTCGTGCGTGACACGAACGACGCGAGTACGTATTTATTGCGAACGACGTACGATGGATGGACAGAGAGGGCAATGCTTACTGAACGAATACGTGTGATTATGACAGAGCTATGGCAACCTGTACTGAGTGAGCTTTCCAGTGAAGAGAGGACATATTTATCTGCAAAGCTTCCGGCAATCCGAGCGTAAGTGCATCTCTGGTGTTGTTGATGAGAGAGTTGTACTTGCCACTGACCATTGCTGACCATTGATTGATTTGGTGCAGTCCATCAGCACGAAGGAAGGCGCCAGTAGTCTCGCGAGCTAATGGTCCATCGCACCGACCCACCCGGCCAGTGGTTAAGGTGCGTCTACGTGCACGTTGTAATATTGTCGTTTTTGATCCGCTTGCCGACAACGAAGTATGTTGTTGTCTCATTATTTGCAGGAAACGCGTCTTCCACGCCCACTCAACCCTTTCATAGTGTACTGCCAAATGCAGAAGGAAGTTTTGGGCAAGACACGTCGATCTGCGTCCGAAATGAGGAAGATCATGGGTGACATGTGGCGCAGGTGTTCCGATGAGGTACGCTTGACTGCTAAGCTCGGTACTGATTTTCTATAAACATCGCATCATGATCAACCTCGTTGCTGGGCTCAGGAAAAAGAATACTACGCGCAAGTGACAGAGACAGAAAACGAAAAGAGGCGTCGGGACTACATTCTGCACCTGCGCGACCGAGCGATTGCCGAATGGGAAGAGGATGAAGCTCGCCGAAAAGGACTGTTGGCTTCCACCACACTCGAGGCGTCCGTGGACCACTTTCGCGGTCTTTTGCTCGAAGTACGTGCATATTCGTGGGCACTTGTCATGTCGTATACCTTGTGCTAACGTCGATGGGGTTGCGCTGTGTGGTCAGAATTACATGAGCGAGCGACACGAAGTGGATGTAAATAGACTAGAGTCCGTTGCTGAGAGTGTAGACGAGGAGGACGAGGACGAAATGTAACAAGAGAGAAAAGCACTTGCGTGCTGGTTGCAGCCGTTGCGCTCGGGACGCGTGCGTCAAGCAGCAAGCGCAAACACGACGGACACTTCGCTGTGCTTGCTAAAGACTGCCATGTTTTTCGACTTCGACTCCAAGCGAACACAGCTACCTAACGTCCAGGAACATGCGTCGAGCTCCGCTTCAGCTGTAGATCTCGATACCTGTAGCATCGAGGATCTCCGAGCGCAACAGCGCCACCAGCTCCCCCTGTCTCGCGTGTTGACCCAGTGACCGTTTTCAGCGTCGTACTCGTACCGGCGAGGGCCACTACAAAGTCCGGTACACCAGACGTAACATCAGTTAGTTCGTCTCGTGCGCGCAACTGTAGTGGTCTCGTCAGTGCCACGCACCTGATGGGAGAAGACCACCAAATCTGTCGGTTCGGGACCTGGCGATTGAGCACCCACGTTCCGTGCTCGCCGAGGTCGATCTTCAACACGCCTTGCTGGTTAGGTCCAACATGTATCCAAGCAGGTGTTTCGTATCAGTCAAGCACTGGCCAAAGGTCGAGCAATGGCAGACCACGTACCGAGAACATGACATCGGACTCGTCCAGCATCTCTTCAATGCCATCGAGCCAGCTCTGGATATCATGCAGCGTCTCGTCTGCCAGCTCGACGAACTTGCGCTCTGGCATTTGCACGGAAAGAGCTGAGGCGTCGGACGAAAAGTGCGCGGCCTGCACGGGGCGCTGACGTGACAGCAGTCTTGCACCACTGAGCTCGGGCGCGTGCGGTGCAGTGCTAGTGAGGGCTTTGAGCCCCTGGACGGCAGTGCGGCGGGACACACTGCGCACTGATGACAGCGCTGCGCGTCGCAGCATTTTTGGTCGGATGGATGCGCTGCGAAAGGAGACGAGCACGACAAAGCGTCGCTATTACGGATTTTGCACCAATGAGAAGAGGTCGGCTGGGTCGGCTTATATTCCGCTTGTGAGGACTCTCCTTCAGTGTATATTCCTTGTATTCATTCGGATGTAAGTTTTCGCATCTGACGTCCATCAAGCGCGTTGTGTGATCGACAGGTTGAAGTTCACCAAGGATAGGAACACGAGCGTTACCTACGAACGTATTGACGGGTGTGTGTAGTTGAATGTGGTATGTTGTAAGATGACAGGATGCGTAGCATCGTCTTTGTCGATGCTGATGAGTTCTGTCGGTAACACACCATTTATGCCACAAGTCTAGAGTAAATCAAGTGCTACGCGCGATGCGGACTTGAAATTAAAGGGCGAAGCGATCTTTATACGCAGCCCTGTGGGTTCCCTGGGGTGTCTTGACAAGAAAGCAGGCAATTCATAGGACACTGAGTTGCCGGTCCTGATAAAACGTTTTGCCACAAAATTGCCTCATTCGTCATCCCACAGTTTTATCGCCCTCCTCTCGCTGATAACCCTCGTCCAACACCTCGGACTCGGCCAATCAAGCGAAGGTCACGTATCGTTCACGATGTAGTCAAGACTATATATCAGTGTAAACCCATCGATACGTACCACCGATAGCCCAGACGCCCAGGGCTGGCCTCAGGACAGGTTGCAAGGAATAGTTGGCGTAACCGCACATGAACGCACTCAATATTCATTAGTTTGTGGCTTGTTGGCACTAGCTAAATGATTATTTTCAACATTACCTATGCCTTTTCGGCCCTGCTAAAATTCAACTATTAGCTGAATTATTGCTTTTCTGATGTGTTTGTCTTCGTCTTTTTACCTATCGGGACTGACGTAATTTCGCTTGAATTTGTCCATTTTTCCGACTTGTAAATTTGGTCGTTAGTAAAGCATTCCCATAAAAACTTCTAGACTATGCTCATCTTTGACCTTTATTCAAATGAAGAGCGGAATTCGGGCACCAAACGTTCGGATTGATTCGGCTAAGCCTCTACCATTACACAGAGTGGAAACTTTTGTTGGTGGCTTACTTCGTCACAATTGAAGTTAAACTTACCCCTTTACCTGCATTTATTCGGATTCAACAAGTCTGTAGCCCAATGGGCAATCGAGAGCCAAGCATTAGCGCATTCATACATATAAAAAGAATCTATAGAACCAGAACTATGAGGACTGTGTATATCGACAAACTGGTCTATCTTATTACTAAGTGTTACGTACACTAGATTTCGCACGCCTCGATTATGTACGCCATGACCTGCCCTCTTTTGTTCGATGGGTATGACGTCCTCCAAATCAACGTGTATTGTATCATTCCCACGATCTACGCTGATGGCCTCGAGTCTGAGGCTAGTCGCCGACTTTCTGCTGCAGTGACCCGAACTGAGCGGGCGCCAAGGATTCGTCCCTTATGCACTTACGTTCATAGCTATACAAGGTCAAAGTGATATCGATAAAACCTGTGATGCAGGGTAATAGTAAGTATCAAAAAGCTCCAGACATAGATGATAAATGTAGAATATATCAGCCACACCTTTTCGAATAAGATTCGTCTGCTATGATTTGATAAATATACGTAGCTGAATACAAGGTATTTGCCGGTGAAGCCTGCTAGCAAGTGCTTCTTAAATCTATAGACGAAAATACGAAAAAATGATATGTATAGAACATCATTTGGAAGTGGCATTGTCTGCAGCACTCAGATGGTTAGCACTGCAATCGTTAAGCCACTAAAGAGGCTTGCGGCGACGAACCAAAGCGATTCTGGCACGCGCCCGTAAGAAAATTATGCATGTCATGCTTTCATTGGTTTCTACAACTTCAGCGTCTGATCTCAACGTTTTGCGGCGTTAGTTTGAAGATGAATCAAATAATCACTCCCAAGCCTACAAAGGTCTTCCCGTGACCCATTTATTACTCACAGAGTTTCGAGATCATGCGCATGACGTCATTTCGACACAATGTGTTGTATTGTTGGGAGGAATATGCTGCAATATAAACGAAGCAAAGTAGAACTTGCGGGGAGTGAGCCTGTGCTCGAGATGGCAAATTCGAAAGTAATTGATGAGAACTTTACAGATAAGCTACCCACTTGTTATACATGCATCATATGGTCACTGTATTTGGTGCCATGGCCTCATCCATATTGTACTCGGCAATTTTGAGCTTGAGTGATGTCTCGCCTCATCATGATAACTATAGCTGGTATCATCACGATAATTGTACCTCGTCCTAATAATTTGGCTGATGTCTAGAGTTGAATTTAAGTCCACTTTCATATACGTGTGTGTCACTATCAGGAACATCAACCTAAACTTTACAAACAGTTGTTAAATCTGACATCTTCGTCGTCGCTTCTAATACTTACATTGACGAACATCAAGCTCGCTGCAAAACAAATTTAACACGTTTCTTTCAAGTGGCTTAGTCCAATGATCAGCAAATATCTTTTTTTCGACAATGATGGACACAAGCACACACCACCACTAGCTACTTGCTTTTCCAGGCAATGTTATACGGTAAAACATTTGGCGCGAGCTGTGCGTAACAGTCTTGTTGTGCGCCACATTTTGGTCGCCTTAGGTATCCTCCAGCATTACCTTTTGTTCCAAATAAAGTGCAATTTCTTGTACAAACCATCATGATCCCAATACACTCGTAAAATCCAATACATGAAGAAATGTACTCTGACTCAGTAGATGACAGCGCGAACTTCGATTGTTCCTTAAGTCCTCATTCTACGAGGTTTCCATTCTAGAAAACTGCGTAGCCAATTGCAGAACGCTAATCACGTTCCACCGAAAAAACAGCATTACAGTACATTCTAGGTTCTTTTTGATATATCAAGTGATCATTAAACACGCTTACAACATCGCGAACTACATTTGAAAAGCTAAATACATCATTAACTTACTGCTGAACGATATTTGTTGTGCGATCAATCTCGTAGGGGAGTATGCGCACAGCTGTTGACATGTCTGGGCGACTGGTAACAGCCAAGTAAAGCAGAGCCCAAAAGTTGGACGTGAAACAACATTACTTGTATCCGACAAGTTTTCAGGCCGGTTCACAAAACGATTTTCTATTGGTGTCGGGGCCGAACGAGCACGGGTTGCCAAAGCGCGCCACAAGACTACATACGTACTTGTGATAGCTGACGCGTATCTTATGCCAATCGCAGACCCTTGTGACTTTAAATCTCGAGATAAATTTGCTCGGGAAAATGATTATTTACGTCGTATTCACTTTCAACAGCATTCTTTGAGGCTAACAGTTTCTTAACGGGTCGCAAAAGCCAATTATTCGTCGGCATGGGTAAAACCATAAAATAAGCTTATTGTCGTCTTTCTTGACGAACAGACATGTGTAGGCCTCGCCGTTCATGAAGCCAACGAGGATCAGGAATGCGAGAAAATAGTCAAATCTGACCTTCCAAGCTTTCTACACTCCATACACTACAAGCATCAGAATCCACACATGGCCGTATTCATTCTTGTTTCCCTTAACAGGCTCCATGAATTCTCGTCCAATATTTTTGAGTTCAATAATGCGGTCTTGATTTCCAATTGGAAGCATTTCCAACGGTTTCTTGCGATGACAGCAATTACAATTATAAAGTCTGCTGTGACATACAACTGGACTGAATATCTTTGTGTTGCCCGCTTCATATATCTGACGAAAACATCTAGCTAGAAGTAGAGCTTTGTATATGTCGAAACTGTCGAATGCATGTGTATATCTTGATTCTCATCTCGACTTGATAGCCGTACTTCCCGTTGGTGGTGGAACCCCGACAGTAACCATTGCTTTAAAAATTATCAGCCATTGATCCAGCTCCTTACTGGTAGCTTAAGATAGATAAAGCCATCGCGAACATGTGATATGTCAAAAATTTATGGATCAAGTCTCTATATGATGATACCGCACACCTCTTCTATGGTGAGATGAGAAGATTCGAAATCAAGATGCCGTTTCCTTGGCTGTGTCACCCTTGACGAGCGTCTCAAGTATAGCCTATCTTTTTCAGCACAATATTAACCTTACATTTGTACTCCTCCCACCTTTTATTCTCCCGGGTTGACGTATCGCAGTTTCCATATCAGAAGATTGGGACATATGTGAACATCTATCTTCTGCTCTTCTATGTACTTGGTCGCAGTTTTTAGTCGTTGCGCTGCATGCTGCAGTGAATCAGGATTCGTGTCGGTCAATTTACAATGTCAGATGCAGGTAGAAAACGGTCTTAGCAGAAAACTGCCGCGCGGAAAATTTTATTTCGCCATGGCTTTGTTCTGAGATGGAAATATGTATGCACCTCGAAGAGCATAGCCCACAAATATCCCATATTTGAGGGTCTTATATTCAAAATTCTTTATATGATCCTTCAGTGTCAGCGTCTGACCTTGCATCTAGATGCGGGTATATTGTGGTGTCGGAGGTTAGCCTAACAGAGCTTCCATCGGTGTATTGTCATCAAGGGATTATGTTTGACACCGGTTGCGCACGTACGCAGCGCAAACCATAGCATCATGACAATACCTCACCGGCATATTGGATCCAATCGTCATCGAACAATCCATGTCCATAATCACAAGGTTGCCACTTTTGATTGGCTTTTTCTCCTTACTTGCATGGTTTTAAGCAGCAAATGGAAATGTTCTGCTGATCGACACACAGGTTGATGATACGCTATTGTCTTCTGTCAGACATTATTCGATTAAGATACTTCTTCGTGCGCACAATTTCATGAATATTAAAAAGTTTGTGTTTTTTGCAAAGCGTTGCTATAATGGGTTTATATTATCCTTTAAACCACTAAAATGGATTCATTCCCCTTATTGTGTTGGAATTGGTAATAGATTTTGTTCAGATAACCCAATCGGCTAGTGTGCCCCTATCGATGGCGTAAACGCGATGTGAAAGGCTTAGAGGAAAAGTCTTGTCATCGAGGATAGAAAAGTACAGCCGTCTCACGATAAAGCTCAAAAGCAGAAGCTTTAAAGGTTGCTGTTAACCAAAAAACGATATCTTATGTAAATCAGCAACTTTTTAATTTCAAGAGCTCCGCGGTATATATCAAGCTTTAATTTCCCTTTTGCTAGGTGTAATTTGTTATTTAACCGCTCAGTAGTGTATTCTGAATGATATATTTGATAAATTTAGTACGCTTAAACCTGACTTGCTTCATTATAGATACACACATACTAGCAATAATAGATTTGAGCTAATGCATCGATGTACATGTCATCTTGTACAGTGCTAATACACAATAAACCTATATTAGTAAATACACTGTAATAAGTACATACATACATTATTAGCCTACATCTCCGTCCATGTATCTCTAGCACATCTAAAACCTATCGAGTCATACAAAAAGTATACACATCCATTTGCTTGCCGTAATATTTAATGATGATGGTCTAGGTGCCAATGTAGTGTACAATTTGCAGCAAATGTGGTATTACACCCTCAACATTTTCATATCAGATACTGTTATATACGCGACGACATATTTACAACTATATTTACTGTCAAGATGAATTCAAGGTTCTTAAACCAATATTCGTCATTCGAAGGCTTAAATGCTTCTCTTTGCCAAATTTGCTCCGGATCATGACTCACGTACGAGTTTAATGTATAACGCCACGACTTCGTGTAGTAGCGTGTTGCCATTAAAAATTGTTAGTTGACTTTTCGAGATGTTTCTTGTGAAGAAGGATGCCATATTACGCTAGTGAGCAGGCCTCTTTAAAATCGGCAAATTATTTATAAAAGCCTAATGTTCCTAATATAAATAGGGGCTGTCTAGGCGTAAACCCCCTAAGGACTGCTCGCACACCCCTCCCCGTGTGTGCAATCGTCTAATCGTTCCGTGTACCCTCTTGTTTTTTATAAAACGAGGTTTATTTTTCTCTCGCACTGACCAGCAACCGAGAGTTAGCGCGCGAAAGAAGCCACAAGGGACCATCACTCTCTTTTCCACTGTGTTGAAGCCACAGCATGAACAGCGAGGACGCGGACACGCGCGCAGCCAAGCGCAAGCACACCACCTCGGGCGGACGCAAGCTGCTGCGCTGAGACGCCGCGCGCTGGCACCTCCCGAGCGCACGCTGCCGTACACGACGCGCCTCAAGAGCGCGCCGCTTTTGCACCTGCGCGCCCCGCTTGCGTCTATGTACGTGAGCTGATGTCCCGTCTGCGGCGTGGACCGTTTTTGCGCTCTCGTGTGTCTCTCTTTTTCTGTGCTGTTGTTTATTAGCTAAGAGATTCATTTTTCCAGTCTAAAGAGTCACGCGCCATCGGTGGTGATGAAGCAACCGATTGTCGGCACGTGCTCGGGGTCTGTAGTGAATCTGGGGCTCGTGATTGACGCGACAGGCAGCGACACGTGTCTGCACGATGTCAAGTGCGCTGCGGTTGCGGTTGTGCTGTGGGGGTGATGGTGAGGGAATGGGAGATAATGACTGGACAATTGTATGAGCTGGTAGAGAGTAGGACGGATTAGATGTTCTTTATGTCAATCTGAAGGGTTACGGGAGTGAAGCTGGGAGCTCTTTTTAAAGAGTTTGGCATGGTACACTGTGGGCGTCACGTGTAATGGTTTTACTGGGTGATTGTATGTAGATGAGGAAATGGGTCCGGAGGTGCACGACAACAGGTTGGCACAAGCATTTTGCAAGACGCTATTCGGCCACTTGATGGGCGATGGAAAACAATGGATATGGCTTTTTTGGGCGGATGGCTAAAACTTTGTGGGGTTTCTCGTTGTGCGGTGCGCGATGACAGTGTTGTCGTTGAATAGAGATACTCATGGGTTAAATTTGTGGTGCGGATAGCTTTTTGTTCGAACATTGCGGCCTGAATCTCGACGCTGCGGTTGGAGAGTATGCAGTCTCGACTTCGCCTAGTATCTACATGAGGCATTACCTGACGGTGCGTGGGTGTTTGATCTATGTGGGAGGGCCGGGTGATATGATACTAAATTGTGCTGTTTTTGTCTTTTCTATCGTAACATACTCAGCCAACTAAGCATCATCAAGCGAAGGATAAGTATGCTCGGGAGGTGGTGCTAGCATTGCCAGGAGAGCAAGGAACATAGAGATAAAAGGATTGGATGAATTATAGCCCGCATTTAGTGGGATAAATAATTTTTTTCGACATCACGGGGGGGCGGTGCGCGTAGTTATTAGGGGGTGTACGCCTAGGCGGTCCCTATGAATATTGTAAAACGCCTCATGTACACCAATGCCGTATCGTATTCTATGGTGGAAGTTTTGTACTTGAGCTTGCTTTCTACGCTTTAGAGTTGATTGGGACGACTATGGCTGCACCTGCGAAGCGTATTAAGGCTGACGCCGCGCGCGGAACGAAGCTTAACGATAAACAAAAGCTAAAATAGGTTCCTAAAGTTGTCGGCAAGGACGCTAAAACCAACAAGATCAATCTCATCGCCTGCAGATTCTGCTTCGTGTACGGTGTTTCGTGATAAAAGTCGGGGCTAAACGGCAGAAGACCGTTTGCAATAAGACGTTTGGCCTGCAGTTCCTTCCGGAGAACTACATGTCGCACCTCACTCTGCAGCATCCGGTCAAGTGGGCGGAAATAAACTCAAGTCCGACTCTGACAATTCGGCCTTCTTTGACGTTGCTATCCCGTTTGTCAATACCATCGTATCGAATATGGATATGTAGAGAAATCACACCACCTACCGTATTGACAAACATATCATTGAAATCTTCATTGGAGAAATGCTTTGGGATCCTGAGCATTTAAAAAAGCTCACGTATAATGTTGCGGTGCGCATTTTCACTCGTGAAGAGCCGTCAGGTGAGTACGCGGCTACCATTAAGACGCCTATGGAATATAGGCTGGCAATAAAGCACGTCGGTATCGGTATCATTATGAAGTGGACCGCCCTGGAGATTCAAGCTGCCAAGGAGGTGGCCAGTGTGTCGAATCTTGCCGGCATGAATCAAGCCAAGGTTGCCGTGTTTGTCCGCGTGCAATGTGGCGCCAACTATCAGACCATCTCCAACGTTCTAAGACTGGTCTGGGCATTTTCGATCGCTCTGGATGCATCTATATGCCAAGGCACGTCCTATGTTGACATTCGAGTTCGTTTTATTTGGCAACGCAAACTCTTTAACTTGCACGTCATATCCGTCATTCGATTTGGTTTGCACACCGGTGTCACTCAGTTCGAGATGCTCTGCAAGCTGCTCGACGTCCTCAGCCCCCGCTGGAAGCAGCCTTGGATTGGCGCATCCTCGGATGGACCACCGAAAATGACAGGCGCAATATCTGGTGTCATCACTCGCCTGCAGCAAGCTATCCTTGGCGGGTTCTATCGCGTATGGTGTCTGCTGCATCAGCTCGACATTTCATTGCAAACGGCGTATCAGAAATTTGATCAGGGTGGTGGTGGACGACGCCGGTCTCAATGATCTCATATATATGAAGGCAGCATGCGCTAGTTGCTGAAATAGGCTCGGTTTGTCCCAAGACGTCGGCTATAAGTTGGAACGCCATGTTCTCTTTTACATCCTGAATTATAGAACATCCACACGAAATTATGGCGCGCTACGCAGAGATGCCTGCTGAGCGTCGTGTCAGTGAGCCGAATAGCATTGTATTGCGGATCCTCTGCTTGGTCACTGCATCGATTACAAGCATTATCCACACGGTGGTGATGCGGCTGCAAGGACATCGCCTGACTCTCAGCCAGCAAGAATCGATAATCCAGCAGTTGGTCGTGGACTCGATGCTCACAATAGGCATGGAGAGGCGGATTGGCGGTTTGTTTACCCTGGACGCCAACCTAAATGTCATCGGATTAGATTGCGCGGCCCGGTACTCCAACATCACTGCGTTCGTATTAATCTCGTTCATATCGAAATGATGCGGCTCGCCGCTCTTGACGACCACCAGACGCGCGCGACGCTGCTAGACAGTATCGGTTTTCTTATCTTTGGCATTGTCAAGGGTTTTTCGAATGCGGTGCGCTACATGATAGCCACAATGATCCCGCACCACCGACATATCCTTCTGCTCTGGTCAAGATCCAGGGACGCGACACCGCGTTGCTTGTCGATCAGCATAAGGAGCGACTGAACGCTTCGTGGAAGACAGCCTACATCGACAAGATCGGTACCCAATTTCGGGCACTCTGCACTGCTTATCGCACCGACCAATCTTTGCAGTCGGCAAATGATGCCTGCACCCACACGTGTTCATTCTACAGCGCATGCGCTGAACAGGGTCTTTGTGGATGCTTCGAACACCTTGTCCTCTTTCTGGGCTTCCTAACGTCGCCGTTTCCCAACACGGCTCCGTTTAAAAGTGACTTCTCGATCCTAAATTTCCGTAAAGATGCATTCAATAAGTCACTAGCTGAATTTCCTGAAGGGTTCTTTCAGTGCAAGCCGTTTGACATGATGATGATGCGTTTAAAATAGTAAAGCGCGTTCGTAGAACTCATTTCAAGCATAATGCCTAATCTGCCTAATTTTTTATCATTTGGTGCCTAGTTGCGTTTGTAATAGGCAGATCAGACAATAGCTTAATTTAAAGAGGCCTGCTACTGAGGCATTCATCAATTATTTGGTAATTTTGAACGCATTATTAGAGCCTGAAGTGTTCTAGTTTTGCTAAATCTATCAGGCAATCGACATCGTGTAAAACATTTGAGGTATAAGAGGTTCAAGTATCATGCCACGTGGCATCGAAATTGAGATCACGTCGGAGTTATGTACATTGTGGTGAAGATGCCATATAAGAGATGAAGGTTGCTAAAAAATGTGATTAGCTTTAAATTTGAACAACATGTTGACGCCCGATTCATCAAGCTTCAGAAATGCATGCGATACATAATACACAATAAATTAATTTGTAAATCGCGCATTTGCAGTGTAAACATTATAGACGTTGTATAATGGTGTAGGCGATATCAATAAATCCATCTACGATTCCATAAATCAACCATGCGGTACAGACAATGCAACCTCTGATGTCATTAATACGCGATAAAAATGTGCGGCAGTTCTACTGATATAGCAGAAAAAATGTAGTTGTATCTGGTCGAACCGCACTCTGAAATTATACTCGCGTTCAAGTTATTATCATACCTATATAAAGTGTGACACATACTATTCAAGGTATTGTTCATATTGATATAGTCGGCACGTGATATAATAGAATCCATCATATCAGCATGATTTTGTTCAACGGGCATGTATTTAGCAGATGCAAAGAAATCAAAGGGCCCCTTCTAATTTACTCAGTATTATAAACGTTTATTCAGTTGATCCAAACATGCAGACGTCTCTCAATTGACCCGGATATTTGTCGTTTTGAATTTCAAACACATTGATTTCTATGCAACTATTGAGCTAAAAAAGTTCTTCATAACTCATAACAAAAATTAAAAGTTTAACGATTGTCTGCTATAGGACGCAGCGAAAACGAAATGTATTGATTTCTAAGATCGAGTATCAGATAGAGTACGAATATAGAGCAGATTGAACATTTGTGTTGATATCGCGGCATTCTGGAAGATCACATTGGTTGTAGCAAATTACTAACAAAATAGTGGGATATGGTGAAGCCTTGTACTCGGTCAATCACCCATCCGACCTTCGGCTAAATATAGATCTAATTCACATAAGTCCACTGAGAACGGTGCAACCTGCTTTGCTGGCTCTTACACAAGCTTACATAGATTTTATAGCATGATTGCAGTATCTGACACTTAGGTGAGTTTTGAATAAGTTGATGTGAGATGAGGTAGCATTGTAAAACTTGCGATCACCAATTCACCGCCACATCATGTGAATAGTGTAAAACTCTTTGATGTAGGTTTAGTCGAAAGACGATCATGATGACGATAATATATCTTTTTTTCAGCAAGAATCCATTATAAGCTGACTCAGAAAGCGCATTTGGATTGAAACGAATGCCAAACTTTTGATCATGCTAAGGGAGAGCTAATATGTTGCGACGATGATGCTACACGGGCGAAATGTAAAGATGTGGATAGGGCGATCAAGTGCTCTATTGCTCGAATAGTTGGGACCGGTCTCCGCGCGGGTAATCGGGGATGTTCATGGCGTCCGTGATACGATAATATCGCATACATACCACTGCACGTTCCCAGGACATAACCAAATGGCCGTTGAAGCTAGAAAAAGTTACTGATTGGTCTTTATTAGCTTAAAGATCCCAATAAATGTCAATTGTGCGACGTTGCAATTATTTAGACTCTCTATTCTAACAAGCCTTTATCGTGTCGCATTGCATCACAAAAATTAAGTGAGTAAAGCTGAAAATATATATAAATATTTACGATATCAGCCGTCTTATGTGAATCCTTATAATAGTTGAAATGCACGATATTCGCATGACGCTTTCAATCAAGCAAGTCAGATCATTCAACTCAACGCGATATAAAAGTAATCAGTGAAGGATAACCGTTGCCGTGATATTTGAGAATGTGTAATCGACTTTATATACCTTCCATCTCGTATATGTCCCATCGAAAACATATTATGATGTATGCCCTCATACATGAGCTCTCCGTCCACGGTGTCGTACGCCTTGCGAAATCTTGAAAGAAGATCGACTTGGCTATGGCTGACGCGAAGCGTTGGGTCTTCATGCGGCGATGCTGTTCGAGCAACTATCATCCGTATCAGCTTGAGCATGTGTAGACATGAACAAAGCATTTTCAAGATATATCAATTTTGATTGGCAGTAACTCCCGCGAACGAAACTCAAAAATCTTCGCAGAAGTCAATAACTGATTTATAGCAATAAGATTATCCGATGATTTGTTTCGTGAGACAAATTACCTATATTCCGCAATGTTATCACCTCCGTCTTATAAAATGAAAGTGGCATGTTTGCAACTTGCAAGTTGTGGTTGCTTACCTTCACCATCTTCGGCACCACTGACGCTGACGTGCCCTTGTTGAAGGCATCATTAAGAAGATCCGGACGTGCACTTTTTTGCCTGCTTAGATACGTTAAGTGCAAAGAAATCTTGCTTCCGTAAAGTTAAGCGTCATCCTCTAGCTATCGGAGGATACTATGTAAGCGCCCGACTGAATTGGCCACAAGTAACCAAATAATCGGTACAATGCACCTTATTGGAATTTCGAGCCAAACATTGTGGTAATGCTCATATTACTGGAGAAAGCAGGAACGTGCTTATAAATTGCCGTAACCGCTTGATTGCGTTCCCAGTCTTCCGCAGGCTTATAAGACCAGCAAAGACGAGCAGTGGTCTGCTCGAAGTGTTGCATTTTTTGTAACTATTCACCTAGTTTCTCCTCCACTGTTGCGTGTATTGAAAAATGTATGGCAAGTAAGTTTTGCCTGTCCCGCTGCATATGTGCTGTTTGTGTCGATAGCGGCGTTGCCGTGCCCTCTTTCTGAATGATGTTATACATCTTTTGTTTTCCGATACATAAGCTCTTCATGGACGGATAAAAGTTTTCAGCCGACCTCGAAGTCTGCCATTACGTAAAGAAAGCTCGTGAATGACTTAGTCAGATTACCTGTCGGAATAGGATGCTTCACCATCTGACATTCGATATAATTAATTCCGCCCTCGTACACCTATATAAACTTTTACTTCCTGGTGGTCATATCGTTGATGTAGCGGGAGAAATTTCACACACATGACTGCGGCAGACCATCTTTATGTGGTGTGACACAGGGAAACCTGGCTTTCTTTCGTCCCTCTTCATTCGAAAAGTAATCGACTGGATCGATATAACCATCGTCGATGCGTGTGTGCAAAGCAACTAAATGTCGACCTGATTGTGTTTTTTAAGAATTATGTTGTGATCCAGAATTTCAAGGCTTCTAGGCCGTTGATCAAAATGATGATTGAAGAACGGTCATCGTTCACAAATATAAATCGAGAAGCAGGAAATTGTTGGGTGGTATTTTCAGCTGGATAGGGATGAATGATTTTTTTTGGTTGTGCCGTAGAGTAGGTGAGTTTGCATTATACAAGACTAACCGCGATCGAGACAGCCATGGCGCGCCTGCTTCACAGATCATGTTGTCATCCAGCCGCATAATTATAGAATAATGTGTCAGCAAAATCGATATAATTACTGCCCGCGATGATCTAGTTCTCCAGTATGAGAGCGGCAGATGGTCGACATCACAGTGTTTTCGAGATTTGCCTATCGAAAGCTTATTTCTAGCTTTATCGAAGACGTTGACGTGGGTTACTTATATGGATCATACGTGAGGTCAATGACGGACGTCCCCGCATCTTCAAGGAGACATCTTAACGACCATGCACTGTTATATATACACGCGCTTTACGAGTGACGAACTTGATATCCTCGTGATACAAATTTACATGCGAGCGCTGGGCGGACACGCCCTACAACCATTTGGATGGCATTGCATACCTCCCGAATAAATTAGA